TTCAACATGTCAACAAAGAGAATTAGCAAAGTTTATATTAATATTATTATATTAAGATTAAATAAATGTTACAACAGGCCTTTCATCTGGCAAAAATCAGATGTGTATGTTGTACAGTATTTTAATGACTGAGTTAATATGAATGATTTTTAAAGTACTTAGGAATACGCTACACTGTTTGTGCCTTACAAGCTTACAATTTGCATAAACTGCTCTTCATGAGCTGTTCATATATTTTTTTCTTTGATGTATCATAGAAAATGTACATCTCATGCTTTCTGTTTTAGCTTTCGATTATATATTTGTTGTGACAAGTTCCAAATGTCCAGTATTTAAGTCTATTTAGAGACAAAAAAACTGCTTAAATGTCCTGTTCTACCCCATTACTCCATGACTAAGAAGCAATTTTCTTTCTTTCCATGAGACTATCACAGTGACAGGTTTATTAATGTTAGTCATTGAAGCCGACAGCCATAAGAGTGTGTAAGTGTGTAAGTGTTTAACTGAAACAGTGTGTTAGGATACAATATGCGGTTTGGAAAGAAGTGCCTTGCTGCACATTCCTACCTTGAAATGAAAGCTGACTTGGGCCTTGCAAACTGATATTAAATGTCAAGGTTATATTTTTACATAAACACACTCAGCCTATTCATTTATTCCATTAGGTGCTTGTTAATTTATACACCAGGTGCTTAATTAATATGTCACCACAGAATTATAGAAACCTTAAGCAACCAAGCGTTTCACTCCATCTCAGCAAGATTTGTTCTATAAATGGCTACTCAACTGCAAAAAGTTTTTAAATTGTGATAAAGGAGGACCAAATACAAAGTCAGTCTATTACATTTTTTTTTAATGTTGGATTTTTTTATTTTTTTTTTTAGAAAAGAAAATTTTAAACATATTGACACATGAGAAGTCATCTAATCTCCTAATCTTCTCAGGCAGTAAAACTGCTTTAAAACAAGACGATAAAAGTGGTGGCCTACGTGGCAGATCATGGTCAAGGATTCTAGTGCTAGGGCGTGTGTGTAGAAACTGATAAATGTCATAAACCAAATTCCAGATAGGCCAAAAAAGAACCAGGCGCCTTCCTTCTGAAATCTGCAGAGTTAGTGCGTGAGGATAATATTAGTCTTATCTGTCATATATTAATGAGCTTACACTTTAATGACTAATAACTCAGTGGTATTCTGTCATCATCAGCACACAGTATGCCTACCCCTCGAACAGCAAGTGCGTCATGATACTGCACAGGTTATGGATATTTGGCTCACGGTTTGTCCAAAATTTTAAGTAACATTTTAAGGTGTAGTTTCCACCAGGATTTTCATTTCTGGATTGGCATCTATTTTAAAAAAAGCTACCATCTCGTACAAATTTAGAAAGGGCTACATGGCAAAAATGTCTTCACCAATCAGACACCAATCAGTCTAAACAGTAACAGTGTATGCTGTTTAATGAAATGAGTAAAGTCGGGATATATAGCACATATCGAGAGCTTCAGAAAAGGGGGAAATAATGAAACAGACTACCCAGGTTCCCTTACACAGAGGACCCCTCGTAGAACCTGGATTAAAAGAAAGAAAGAAAGAAAGAAAGTGAAGCTCAGCAAGATCAAAAAATTAAATTTGTCATATTTTTCTGTTTATAATGCTGTGAGATTTAAACATTATATTTGACATTTATTCACATATACAAATATAAAGAAAGAAAGAAAGAAAGAAAGAAAGAGAGCTTCATGGTTTAAACCTGCTTCACTAATATGAGAATTGTTACTTTTTGGATTTGAGGTATGAGCAGGCTGGTTTGAGAATATTTGCACAAATTTGAACTAATATTACCTAATATTATCTCCGTCTCACATGACCCTGGCACCGTGAAACAACTTCTAAACCAAATCAAAGGATGCAGCAAAGCCATAATTACCAGTTTACAGGATATTATCTATTATTTTCAGTTTGTTCAAACATCAAACATTACAGCCATTTATTGGCTAATTGTCTTTATACGACAGCGCTGTTGAATTCTCAAATGTGTTTGGTCAGAAGAAAAAACACGTAAATGATAATATCGTGACAGTTTCTGTTTTTATTTTTAAAAAAGATGTTTATTTAATATTTTTGGAAGGTATCTTAGGTGTCAGTGCTTTGTACAGTTTCCACCACAAGCGTGTCTTAAGGACAGAGGACTTGACAAGATGCGTTTTTTTTTTTTTTTTGGCATGCTAAGCACAAGAGAGAGAGAGAAAAAATAAAGAAAGGCTGGAGAGGGAAGAACTATTTGTCAATGATAACAGGAACTAACTTGTTTCATGGACGTTCCACAACATTAAATGTTAATTTTAAATGGTTAAACATATGTGCTGTTAATTAATACATTTTAAAAAATTAATTGTTGGCAAATTGTTGTGGTATAAGAGGAATAAAACACTTCAGAAAGTGTTGTTATAGGAAAATAATCAACTTTGGGGCAGTTAAGGATCACAGAACCATGTTGTTGTTTAGTTTCTTGTAACGGCACACCCCATCATGTTCTATTCCTTCCTTAAAAAGCATTCCTCTAGTCGCTTAAAGGCAATCTTACAGCAGTATGTTACTGTGAGAGGAGAGCATTGAAATGGCTGTTTCTCATTAACCTGCATTAGTGTGCATATCCTTCCATTTCCTGTACTGCTTATCCTACACAGGGTCACAGAGAGCCTGGAGCCTATCCCAGGGAACTCGGGGCACAAGGTGGAGGACACCCTGGATGGGGTGCCAACCAATTGCAGGGCACACACACACACACACAGGACAATTTGGAGATACAAATCAGCCTACAGCATATGTCTTTGGACTGGGGGAGGAAACCAGAATACCCACAGGAAACCCCCCAAAGCACAGGGAGAACATGCAAACTCCACACACACAGGGTGGAAGTGGGATTTGAACCCCAACCCTGGAGGTGTGAGGCAACAGTACTAACCACCAAGCCACCGTGCCTCCCTAGTGTACATATTTTAAACAATTTTTTGGTGCTTGTTTCCTGTTGACTTCCACAGAAACCTGGAAATGCTATGTTATTTTAATATGGTATATAATATTGCATGATTTTGACTTAATAGCTCATTATTTCAACATATTATATCATTATTAAGACTTAAATATCTTGTTATTTCGACTTAATAACTCATTATTTCAAGACTATACATTAGTCTTATTGATAGATTGTGTGGAGTTAAATGTTAAGTCGAAATAATGAGATAATATCTCGAAATAACGAGATGTTAAGTTGAGATGACGACATAACACTTCAGCATATTTAACTCAGACCTTCCATATGTACACTTCCAATAAACATTCTCAGTATTGACTTATATCTATTTTACATAATCCTGTCACCTTCTGTATAACCATCCAGGACATAATAGTCGAGAATATAGTGAGAATATAGTGTCATCAGCTACAAATAAATGATTTAAACGAATGAGTTTCACCCAACATGGCAACCCGACTGCTAGTGACGTCATCGCTCAGATGCCACAGAGTAGCCAATCAGAGAGCGCGCTGCTTCTGTACACGGAACTGATTGCGGAATTGCTTAGCAGGTCAGTTATCACTGCAGTTGTTTTGTAATCGATTTTATGGTCGTTTAGAAATATTTCTGGGTGAAAAAGAAAAAAAGTAAACTGATTGCCATTGTGTTTGTCTTTTTTTAAGTAGTGTAATGACCACATGAATGTGCAACCTAACCTGGCATCATTACCATCACCATCATCACAGAGACTGGCTCATAGAGCTCATACTAGCCGGCTAACTAGCAGCTGTTTTTAGCATTTGGCTAATTAAATCTTATCTACATCCTTATTCACACTTATTTTAAAAAACTGCAGTCGAGTGGCAGTTTGATAGTCATGTTTCAGGTCAGGTTTAATCAGTTTCATTATTTTTGAAGACAGCTTGCACATATTCAGCTTGTAAATATTCATATCATGATCTTCCCTATTTTTAAATGCTTCCTATTTAATTAGCCTTATCTGCTAATATCATATAAACCTAGCTCAAGTAGCTAAGTAGCTGACCAACAGGTCACATTTTACTCAGATGAAAATATCAAGAATTTCTCTTTTTTTCCCATCCCAGTCTGTTTTGTACATCTATCATTTAAACTGTTTGCATCTACTGAGCTTTACCTTATAATGTCAGACACACAGAAATAAAATAGATTACATTTTTTAAACTTTACTATCTGATTTAACCACCTGCTATCAAACAGAGGTGAGCTGTTTACATTTAGAGTAATGAGTTTTGCTGGTGAAGCTTGGCAAGATCAGATTCACTGTCGTTTATTGCCATTTTTGGGGTTTACCTTCTGATTTCAGACATCATCAGTAGAGGTAGCCAATGGCAGATCAGAATGGCCACACTGATCCCGCCCCTTCAGTGGACGTGATGGCAGGTGTACCTTTCCCTGCAGCTCCTCCACCGATCTACGTGTGCACTCTAACCCCGGATCTGGAGGCCAAGGCACGAGAGGAGCTACAGGAGAAGCCCGAGTGGCGTCTTCGGGATGTACAAGCGCTGCGAGACATGATCCTGAAGGAACATTCCAGTCTGAGGACGCGGCTGGACGACGCCTTTCTCTTGCGCTTCCTCCGAGCCAGGAAGTTTGACTATGACCGTGCGCTGCAGCTGCTCCTGAACTACCACAGCAGCAGGAGGGCCTGGCCTGAAGTCTTCCAGGACCTGAAGCCCTCAACGGTCAAGCACGTACTTGAGCTAGGCTTCCTGACCGTCCTGCCCAGACCTGATCCTCAAGGCCGCTACGTTCTCTGCTTACGGCCAGGTTGGTTGATGTAGGCTTAATGTTAAAAATTCCAGAAAGTTTCAGGAAGAATCTTTCAGAGTCATGTAGGATCTGTTTACCGTGGATGTTAAACTAAACAAAACCCTTCAATATAATATTTAAATTTTCCCAAGTATGGTAGAAAACAATAGTGCGTTAACAGTTACAGGTTAACCCTGATAGTGATAGTGGTTAGCACATTTGACTCGCGCCTCCGGGGTTGGGGGTTCGAATCCCACCCTGTGTGCGTGGAGTTTGCATGTTCTCCCCGTGTTTCGGGGGTTTCCTCCGGGCACTCCGATTTCCTCCCTAGTCCAAAGACATGTACTGTTGGCTGATTGGCATTTCCAGATTGTTCGTAGTGAGTGAATGGGTGTGTGATTGTGCCCTGAGATGAGTTGGCACTCTATCCAGGGTATCCCCTGCCTTGTGCCCTGAGTACCCTGGGATAGGCTCCAGGCTTCCCTGCGACCCTGTGTAGGATAAACAGTACACAAAATGGATGGATGGATGGATAATAATATATTCCCACTGAGTTTCAAAATATTATTACACTTTAATCCTTGTCCATTACTCCATAAGGTAGGCGTGATCTTGAGTTTTGTGAGAACATCAGTTTATTAAGATATACTTGAAATCGATATACATAAATAGCTAAATGTTTGTCTACATACAGTATGGTCCATTAGCATCCACAGGCTTTTCCATGCTTTTTTCATGCTGTTATATTTTATACATAAACATGCAGCCTGTTCACTTATTTTTATCTATTAATCAGAGTCATCTGAAGATCACAAAATAACTCCTCAGTTTAATCCATTAGACCACCCAGACCAACATCTGTAGAATGTTGAGTAGAAATATCATCATTAAATATTGAATAGTACATCTTTTGCATTGTTTTGGCGACAGGGAAATGGACACCGAATGACTATCCGTTTGTGGACAACATTCGAGCCATTTATCTGACACTGGAAAAGCTGATTCAACCTGAGGAGACGCAGGTGAATGGAATAGTCATCCTGGTGGATTACACTGGAGTTGGCTTGTCTCAGGCCTCCAACCCAGGCCCTCTACTGGCAAAGAAAGTCGTTAGCATTCTTCAGGTGAGCCTTTGCTATCAGCTTAGAAGCAAATAAACCTTGTGTGCCAAAAAAAAATGTCCCAGCTAAAAGTCCTACTTAATTTTTAATAACTGTTAGCCGTAATTGTTTGATTTTATGTTTCAGGATGGATTTCCAATCAGAATAAAGGCAGTCAATATCATAAATGAGCCTCGAATCTTTAAGGGAATATTTGCAATAATAAAGCCTTTTCTGAAGGAGAAGATGGCTGAAAGGGTAGTTGATTCAAATAATTATTTTCATTTTCCTCATACTCATTATGATTTAAAGTGAAAGTGTTTTTACTCACTTATGTGACTACTAGTGTGTGCTAATGTGACCACTATCCACTATTCCAGTTTGTCTTGCACGGCTCAGACCTGTCGTCTCTGCATCGTGTCATCCCGCGCTCTGTGCTGCCGCAGGAATACGGAGGCGTGGACGGTAGACTGGACATGACAGCTTGGACTCGCACACTACTAGAGGCTGAGGAGGAGTTTGTTGTGGAGTTTTGCCAGCCGGAGCCTCTGGAGGGAGCGCTAATGCCCGACTCGTTGTTGTTTGAGGGCGAGCAGCCTGAGGACTCTTACAGAAGCCTGCGCTCGCAGCTCTACTACTGCTACTGAGGTCTCGTCAGGCGGCCGGCACCTTCTGTTTCCTTAAAGATGTTATTTTTAACAATTAGGGTCAAAGATCGGGTTTTATTTTTCTTAAATCATTAAGCTAAAAATGGTGGCGTCTGTGTGAAGTTCACAGATTACAAATAAAAGGTTGTTGAGATGCAGCATTATTGTTTGTAGAGCATTAATAAATTACAGTTTATAGGAAACATTTTTCTGAGACTACTAGGGTCAGGAGGTCAGGGAATTTTTTTTTTATAGCATCATTTTCGCTCAAGGTGATGGTTCTGGACATACTGTATCAAGTTAAGGTGGTTTTGAATATTTTAAAAGAATCTGATTATATACCACAAGAACAGAATCCAAATGCCGATAGACGTCCATTGCTATTGCTTTGTGCTTACTTGTGCAAATGTTACACACAACCATGCAAACGCCTTGTTTTAACACTAACGTTACAATGCGACAAAGTATTGCCTTAATCTAAAGAGGAAAAAATCGATGTAAGGACCATGTGATTTAAATCCAAAGCAATATGTGCATTCATGTTTTGTTACCTCAATTTTGCACTATGCTTTTTTTTCTTTATTTATCATGTTCATGCCTTTATTTTTCATATGATGTTTACATATGGTGTATTATGTCAGTGTGGTCAGTGTGTACTCTAACTGCGCAGAAAGTTTTCTCATATGTTGACGTAAAGCTGCAGTTAAGGTTTACAATGCATTTCTGTTCACTGTGTTGCTGCTTTAGCCATTCTGTTGTTACACTTTTTATTTTATCGTGAGGAACTTTTATTAATATAATAATTTTTTCCAAATGTCTAAATTCTGGGTGTTGTGGCTTGCACAGCATTGTAAGGTTGTCAATATTATGTTAATATTCCAGATTCCAGTAGGTGAAATAAATCATTATCTTATTTGCGAGGTTAGTTTGTCTTCCCTGGGCATTTTGGGTTTGGCTTTAGTGATGTGACTAGTGGTACCTCAAAAATAAATAAATAAATAAATAAATCCCCACTTAGCATGATTGCTTAAAATTCCATCAGATGGCGCCATTATATTGGACTCATCATACTCCATAGAGCTTCATCATAGCGATTCGATTGTGATTCGATCATCTTGATTTACTCGTTTAGGTGAATCGAATACTTCGAGTTATGATTAATTCGATTCACTACTCATCACAGTAATAAAACACAATAAAACCATAAAGAGGCCATTGTACTTAGTGGCATTCAGTGCTAAAATAATTTGAGGCATTAAACTGTTAAGAATTGCACCAGAATTTGATTCATTTCTGGCTTACATCTTTAAAGAGTCGATCAAGTGAGTCAAAGGACTCAACCATTTCATTTGTGTTTGCTTTTCAAATAAATGAATCATTTGACAACTGCTTATCACTAATTGATTATTTACTCACTCTCATTGTCTGCCTCTTACAGGCCACTATTTTAGCGGTTGGCTAATAAAGTCTGTTGATATTAAGGTTTACATGGACTCACAAGCATCTTTAACTCTTATATAAACTACAAGTAATTCATAATAATAATTCATTAATGTGCTGACCTTCTATTTACCCATTTTAATATTCCTTTCAATTATATTTATAAATGGCTTTTAATAATGTTTTTTTGTTGTTGTTGAAAATTATTTTAAAAATTATTGCATCAGGGTCACAAAATGCTCCTGAGCTGCTGTGACAATCCTGAAACCATGATTCACGTCTGATTTAGTGGGAGTTTTGTGCACGTACGTCATACTCCAGCTCAAACATATCAAATGTCATTACGTCCTTAGACACGAAAGAAGTCCAACTACATGGTGACAGGCAAGAGCTGTACTTCATCATTGGTTAAATTGAGTAAGATCAAGTCAATCAGGGCTTCTGTTAGCCTGGTATGTGCATTTCATTCACTGATCTTTTAACTATTGCTTTGTTTTAGCTAGAGGGATAATTATATCTGGTTATTTGCAAACGGTGCATGTTTGACAGGCCAGGGCACACAAATCTGATTACGAAATGCACAGAGAACACAGATCAGGTAGCAGAAACACACACACGCATTGGAAGCACCTAGCAAATGTCAGCAAGCTGGATTTAAAGGTAGCTGAAGGTCTGTTGGCCCTGGTGGCCCAATGTTGCCACCCAGTGTTGGGTCAGTGGAATGGCTGATGCTGGCCTAACCTTAGCCCAACTTCAGTTTGCTAACTGGGTAGCTAACTAGTGAGAGAAAATGGGTTAGCTCACTACCATTGGCACTGGAGCTGTGATTCGGTGTGAACAGCTCACTGTGAGAATAAAGCTGAGCAACACTTGCCCCTTTAACCACAGCTTATATGTTAGATAGCTAGCTAACATTAGGTGGCTAGTTCATTCTGTAGGCTATGTGCAGTTTATAATGCTGCAGAAAAAGCACAGCTAAACCGTAGCATCAATAGTCAAATCTCGCTAAAATACGAGCTTTTGTTGAGAAAAAAAGAAGTTTTGCTTTTTCTCCTGGTACTCTATAATAAATGCAGATCTTTTGGGATATAGATTTGCATTCTCTCTCAGATGTGTTAACAGTTTATAGTGAGAATTACCTGGCTTGTTTAATTGTTGGTTTCACTAAAATGGTTCTGAGGGATGTGTGTGTGTGTGTGTGTGTGTGTGTGTGTGTGTGTGTGCACACCTGTGATGGACTGGCATCCCAACCAGGGTGTATTCAGTGTTCTCAGGCTAGGCTCTGGATTCACCACCATGTCATTAGCCATGATAGAACGGTTACGGAAGAGGAATGAATGAGTATTTCTAACTAGTTCTGGGGCAGCTTGTGCAGTTCATGGAAGTCAGCACAACTGAGTGAAATGTCACAGACCCATAAGGTTTGAATGATGTGTCTGGATTTTGCTGGATTTGAGTCATCAAGTTCAGACCCCTTCAGGGTTCCCTTCACCTTCACCTTAGTGGCTTTAAGAATGCCGTAATGCCATAATGACAGTCCTTATATATAAAATCAAAGACAGTGTTGTGGTCTAGGAGTTGGGAATATATTGTGGCATGGTGACAGGATTTATTTATGAGCCACATTCAGTCTGACAGAGTAATAAAGAGGGGGTGTAAATATGAGGGCGATGCACGAGCACCCTGCAGTCTGGACTGCTCCTGTTTCTGTAGTAACCACCCCGGCTTAGTGGACTTCAGGCTGTTGTTGCAAGGCTTACTGTTTTTTTTTTTTCCTTAAGTTACTCTCTCAAAGTTTCAGATTGTTCATACATTTTCTGTTAAAAGAACTCAAATATTCTGGAGCTATTTTTCATATTTAATGGTGGACGGTTGGGGTGTGAAAATCTTTGTATGGCTTGCAGTTGTATTTAGCACATCATAAGACTCAGGAATAAGTAAAGAATAAAACACTAATGTAGCATGATGCGAAACCAACCAGAAGTGGATTCTTTTTCTATAACAGTATTTTATTCCTCTTATACCACAGCGATTTGCCAATGATTGCTCATTTTTAATTTATTAAAGTATGACATGTC